AAAAAAAAAAAGAATGTTGTCAGGTGATTGGTAATTAAACTCTTACTAGCTTTGGGCAGATTTTTAGTTTGGCTTCTTGGAAACCCCCCCAAATGTATCATGTATCATACCTGTACATAAGGAACATTTGACCTCTTCATTTCTAATATATGTTTTATTTATTTTCTTATCTTATCGTGTTTCTAAAAGATAAAAGCAACATAAGATAGTAACAGTTGTCCTTGGCTTGATCTCCATTTTAATGAGAGAGTCGCTAATGTTTTACTAGGTCTGAAATTGGCTCTAAATTTCAAATAGATATTCTTCATCCTGAGCAGTACGCTGCACTCCTACATTAATTGCCAAGAGTGTTCATCTAGAATGGATATTCAATTTCATCAAAGACTTTTCTATATCTAGCAAAATCATCAAATTCCTTTCCTCCTTGGACCTATTAATATGTTGACTTACTAGCTTCTCTGAGCTAAATCATCCTCACGCTCCTGGAATAAATCCCACAGGGCCAGGCTCAATTGTGCTTTAACAATGCCGCTGGGTTCATTCCACCGATATGTTGCTTGGGGTATTTTTCATCTATATTCGTCGGTAAGAATTTATATATATTTTCCTATTAGGGCACACATTTGTCATATTTATAAATCATGGTTATGTTAGCATCATAAAATGAATAGGAAAGTTTTTCAAAATGAATTGTGTAGTTGCAATAGTTTAAATATCATATAAGTTTATTTTACTCTCCGAGACTTGAAATAATTCATTTGAGGTACCACCTCAGCCAGAGTTTGCTTTTATTTTTCCCTGAGGTTCAGTTGACTGTCAACTTAGTTCAAGTGTACTATGGTTATTGGCCTTTTTGGATTTTAAACATTTTTAGTTGATTTTGGTTACTTATATTTTCTATTTAATATCCCAGTTCAAACTGCTTTCAGATGTTTTAATGGAGATTTATATAGTTTTAAAATTTCTTCTCCATATCTTTGGTTGTAGCTCCTTTTTCATTTCTGATAGCGTTGTTTTTGTATTCCTTCCCTTGATTGGAATTGCTAGAGGTTTATCTTTTCAATCCGTGTTTTCAAAGATCAGCTCTTGAATTTAATTGGTAAGTTCCACTCTTTTCTCTTTCATTAAATCCACTAATGTATCTTTTAGTAATTTTACCATTTTGCTTTGCTGCTTTCTTTAGATGCACTTTGTAGTTTTTTAATCAAGTGTTCAATTATTTTCATTTGTCCTTCAATATTTTAAATACAGGTATCCTACATTTTCCAAAAGTTCGTGTTAAGGCCTTCCTTTTTATGAATGACCTACATCAGTACACCTCTTTTTGCTACCTGAGAGAAGTCAAAGAGGATTTTTGCTTCTACAACAAAAGCAAACATAGTGTTCAGCTTCCATGCTCTTCATTCAGTTTAGGAATATTTTCATAAAAGTGCTCTATTTTTGTCA